TTAATAATTGGACTACTTTATTTTTATGGCTGTGTGTTGGTGGCTGCAGGGCCAAGACAGAGGGTGCTATAGCCACCTGTCACCCTAGGGAAGGAAACAAGGATGGGCCTTGAGTCCAGAGAGAAGAGGATTTCTCTGATCATGTTAGACAGGAGGCTGGAGAGGCTGGTGGAACTTGTCTCACCTTGTGGTATGGAGTTGGAGTGGGCTCAGGTTGAAGAGTGCAGATGTTGCAGTTCTTTCTCTCCATCCTCTAGGCCTAGTGGTCATGGAATGAAGGATATCTGATCTCTAGCCTCACTACTGAGTATCCCATGTTGAAGCCAAGATCTGAGGAGAGGCCCATGTGGCTGCTGCTGGAACTCCTCCAGACCCAGCATTTCAGAAGCAGGACTGTGCTTCCAAACACTGACTTTGTGTGAATGTTAGCAAAGACACCTGTCCTCAATGAACCCAGTCTTAGAGTATCACAGAGTGACACACCTGAGTCTACTAGCAGAATAGAGGTCCCCATTCCCCACAAAAAAGGTGCTGTGGATAAGCAGCATCAGTGAGTGACCCTCTGCTGTGACACACTGACCACCAGACCGTGGGCTGCCAGTGATACCAAAGAGGCCACATCACGAGCTAGAGAACATGGGGCCTGAGAAGGCTCTTGTTTTTGTCTCGTAAGACAACAACGACCAGGATTGACCTTTTGGTCTCCAGAGTCCCTGACCTTCTTAGAATGCACAGTAGTGATCTGGAGTCATGAAATTTGAATATTAGAAGGATTAGAAGGTTAGGTACATAATGGGTTATATATACACACTTACTTTCACATATACTCTAGAAAAGAAATCAAGTCAGTGATATCAATACATGCAGTGAGTTCAAAAGAATGAGAGAAGAGAGAATAGCAGTGTTTAAACTTCCTTAAGGAAGATTTCACAGAGGGGACTTTAGCAAATCCTTGAGGATTTTCCTCGTTCGAAGTTTCTTCCTCAAGTCAAATAAGTGAGAATATTTTCAGCTGTTACCTGAACATTGTTGGAAAGTGCAAAAATTGTCTTGAATTATTTTAGTGACATTTTTCTTCTAGTTTGGCAGAGACTGATATAAAGCCCAGAGACAAGCCACCTGTCTGAATACCTTTAGTATGTATAATAGTAGTGGTACACATGATAATATCACTCTAAACATTGGAGGCCTCTCTTCCCAGTTTGCCATGCAGAACGTCTAATCCTACCCATGAGAGGCCAAAGCCAGTGAAAGCAGAAAAGGAGTATTCACCAGGCAGGGATCACAGAAGGAACTACGAGGACCAGGCCAGGGAGTTGGGGACAAATAGTGTTTAGCCCAGTTTTAGACCTGGCACAGCTTTCCCATGCAAAACCATTCCTTTTCAGATTTCCACCCCTTTAGTTCCCTGGCCTCATTACTGCCTTGACCAGGTGTTCTATAAACACAGTCCTTTAAAGAAAATTCTTAAAATATGTCCATGAATCCCCTTGCGTAAATGACTAAAGTTTCATACTTTCACGGTGACGACCTTGGTTATATTCCTGGGAAGTCCACATCTAGTAAAACTCATCACTCTACTCCAAGGTACCAAATAGACATGGCAGCTAAGTAAAAGTGGTTTATTTGCTATTCAAGTGTGGCTTCCAGCCAAGCTGCTGACTCTTAGCCACTCCGGTATAGACATTCTGGAGCTGCCACACTCACGCCTGATGGGGCTCACATGCTGAAGAAACACAGTTTGCATCACCCTTCACCAAAGTCTCTGGAGGCTGGAAAACAAACAGCAGTTGCATGACATTTCCATTGAGAAGTTGATGAAATTTAAGGTTTTCTTTTGCTCAAAATATAAATACAAAATTTTGCAAGTAATTTCAGGAGGTTAGGGGATATCTGAAACAAATGTATGGAACCTGGGAAATCCACAGATGCCAAGCTAAGCCCCCAGGTGCTAACAGGAAAGGACCAAGGAAGAAATGGACCCCAGGGATTTTAAATACCTCAGATGGGCCATGTGTAGAAATGGCAAATTGTTTTTCATTGTCTCTCTCTCCCTTTTCCCTTTCTCTTCCCTTCCCTTTTTATTCCCCGCGTTAAGAATAAATTCTATATTTTAGTCTTGTTTTCTGCCTGGATATAAGTAGTCGCTGTTGGGGCTTAAGTGTGACACATTGAGACAAAATACAGTGAGTTCTGCTATAATGTGACCCATCTGTTTCTAAAAATCACTGCACTATACAAAATCATAGAAACAAAAACCACATGCTTACACGAAAATGAGATTAGGAGCACAGCATTCAAAAACTTCATCAGTGACACTAAAAAAGAAGATAGCAACCTAATTTTAAAAGATAGCTGTTTTAGGCATGTTAAATGGTTAAGGTATACATAAATAATAGAAAAAACACATTGTTTTACCTAGAAAAAGACTTGAAGCTTGTTCATGGAGGTAGGTGTTGGAAGGGTTACAGTTTGTGAGTTATTGAGACATGGCGAAGGAGAGTTCTCTGGGATGGAAAATTGTGACACCAGATGTAGATGGGTGTGGCTCATTATACATGCAGTGAACTGAGGATGCTGGTGGCTGTCAGAGGTGTGAGGACATCTTACGTATTCCTACATGGCTCAGTTCAGCTGGATGCAGTTTTCTGCATTCACCTAGCATTTCTTGCCGATGAAATTAAACATAGGGAAACACAAAGTTCTTGTTATACTCAAATTGTTCCTTGATATATTAACCCCATTGGAATAAATCATTATTTTCAACATAAGCCTTATAGCAGCACTGATTGTATCTAGATTATAAAAATAATTATAATTTAAAGAGTAAGCAGCCATTAAAACCCCAATGAAATGATACTGTAAGGGTAGCAATAACGTTAATATTTCTGAGCAATGAATAATTTACTTTGCCTAGTGACTCAAATACTTTTGGGCCTCCTTGCTCCTACCCTAAGGTTCATCTCCACATAGTGATAAATTCAAATGAAATGCAAATTTGGATCCATGACTTTAAACCATGCGGTGAATTCTGAGTGATGTTTTCTCAGGGCTAGGAAGGAGTTGTTACAATACACACCAGACTTCCTGGAACATCCTCATTATACATTTTTATCCCTGATGTCCCATACCATGTGGCAGCTATACTAATCTTACTTCCCTCTCTTGTCTACACTTCTGATACCCTCTACCTGCACCTCCCAAAAGCCCAACAAAATTTCAACCCTTGCTGGATCTTTTCTTAGCACCCTTTCATCTCTTTCCCTCTTTTCCTGCCTTTTCCCCTGAAATTAAAAATTCCATATCTATGAATGTTACACTCCCACTGCTGCTGTGACAAATTACCGCAAACACTTCAAGGAGATGCACATCTATTCAGGTAAGAACAAAACAGCATAAATTTATTATCTTACATTTCTGAAGGTCAGAAGTAATAACTCAAAATGAGCTTTATGGGACTAAATTCAAGGTATTTTTGGCTGGGCTGCATTCTTTCTGAAGGCTCCAGGGAAGAATTTGTTTTTTACTTTTCTCAGACTCTAGAAGTCATCTGCATTCCTTGGCTTCTGGCCCCGCATCAGTCCAGCCTCTACTTCTGAAACAACAGTTCCTTCTTTTACCCTGACTCTCCTGCCTTCCTCTGATAAAGGCTCCTGTGATTGCATTGGGCCCACAGGATAATCCAGGATAATCTTACCATGTAAAAAATCTTTAATTTATTCACATCTGCAAAGTCCCCTTTGTCATGTGAGGTAACATTTTCACAGGTTCCAGGGATTACGGCATGGATGTCTTTCGGGCATTGGTAAGTCTATTGCACCAGAGATGATATCCAAAAATGCTTAACAACTGATGTGTCACTTAAGGCAGAAATTCTGACTTTCAGAAAGGCCTCTGGTCATAGTGCTGGAGCAAGACTCTGAGACCCCTGATGTGCTGGTGGATGAATTATGGAGAGGGCTAGGATGTCTCAAGGAGGTACTGGGGTGTCTAACACAGTGGTGAGGCACTCCAGGGCCAGGAGCAATGGTTCTCTCTAGGCAGTACGAAAGATATTTGACTTTTTTTTTTTTTTAAACCACCAGTACAGCCACACACGTGTATTTTGGCTGAACACTGACCTGTCCATTATCTTCCTTCTTTCATCAGTTTAGCCTCCCTAGGCTTCTTTAAGTTCTCCCCTTCACCCTCATCCATGATCAGCATGCAAACCTCCTGGGATGTTATCATGTGCTGTACTTAGCCCTTTTACTTGAAATGTCTCATTTAAGCCTTATCACAACCCTATGATTAGATTCTGTACTTAGCTTCCTTTTGCAATTACACAATAGGATCATATGTGCTATTAATTGTTAGGATCTGGATTTGAACTCAGGCTTTAGAAATTGACTTCCTAACCACTGTGGTTAGTGTCTTCAAGGAGATGCACATCCGTTTAGAACCGAAAATATTCTTGCTAATTTGGAAAATACCTCTTTATTTAAAATTTCCTAAAAGGTAGCCTCTCCTCCTACTTTTATGATGGAATACTGGATGATTTTAGTCAAAAGACAAAGTTATTACCATAAGAAAAAGTCCTGCATGAAAGCACATGTTGCCATTTTACTCATTATCGAAGTGCTCTTATGACTGTCAGAGAGAACAGGTAAGATGCCAGGGGAGGCCGAGAAAAAGAGATCAAAGTGTTTTTGTTTACTTTTTTGAAGTCTTGTAGTACCTACTGTTTATTATACATACTTCTTGATTCATGCTGAAATTGGAATTCACCCATTCTCTCTTTTTCCTGTCAAAGATGCAGATGGGGCACATTTCGTTGACTCCATCAATCCCTGCCCCCACACATTAGCACATGCACACGTATACCTAGCCAGTGGAAAAGAAAAAAGAGTTACTCACATTCATCCATTTTACAAAGATTTCCAGGCTGCAATGGGAGGGCTTTACCTCTCCCTGAAGGATGAATAAATAGGTAGCTTAACTGACAACCTGTTCTCAGTCAAGCTGAAGTGAAAACGAGACCAACGTCTAGCTCTACTGTTGGTACTTATGAGATCCAGTCCTGGCAACATGGAGAGGATAGTCATCTGTCTGATGGTCATCTTCTTGGGGACACTGGTCCACAAATCAAGCTCCCAAGGTCAAGATCGCCACATGATTAGAATGCGTCAACTTATAGATATTGTTGATCAGCTGAAAAATTATGTGAATGACTTGGTAAGACTATACTTGTCACAACAAAATCTAAATCATACTTTTCAATTAATATAAAAGGAGGGTTTGGCTTACAAAAATAACTCAGAACAAATTTTCTTTTGCTCTAGGACCCAGAATTTCTGCCAGCTCCAGAAGATGTAGAGGTAAGACCAGTTGAATTTATTTCTGAAAATACATTTGACATAACTTTTAAAATCTAATAAGAAAGGCATTAGCATGATTATATAGGAGTATACTGAATTTTAATGAACTTAGTGGTCTAATAATTGATGAAATATTTATTTATATTTTGGTTAAATTCATTGATTTACCAAAAACCAACTAAAAAATGCTATATTATATTCCTCATAAACTATGTTTATCTTCAAGAATCTCTAAGAGTACTCCTAAGTAGTATTGCTGAGACAGAATAACAAAACTAGAAATGAAATCTATACTCTGATCAGTTTCTGAACAATGCACAGCTAGTTACTCTTTAAGAGCCCTTGGGCATGAAAGCTTTTGAGCCCTCTTTGTTATCCTACTTAAGAAACATAGATACACACAATAGGAAGCAGAATTAACCTTTTAATAACAAACTTAAAAATGAAAGAAAGGAAGAATTAGATTACAGGGACAGCATGGAGAAATGGTGGTATGGAAATCAAAGCTGTCCTTTAGAATATAATTCACATATACCTTGGCTTCAGTGAGTCTTGTCTTTGGCCTTCCATGAGGTCTTTTGAAAGAACCATTTTCAACAATTCATCCCATTTCTTAAGCCATTTAAATCCATTAGAGTTCCAGGAAGGAGAGGCTTGGCATGTAGTTCAAGAATGCTGTCCGCTGATCTTTTTCTCTAGCAACTTCTATGATCTGATCTTCTGGTCTGGTACCCTGAGAGTATAAATGCAATTGGGGAAATGTTTTCATTGTCACAGACCTTTAATTGCATAAATTAGAATAACTAAAAGTGCTACCAGTAATTAGGACACTACAAAGGGGGAGACTGAAGAAGATACATTGCAAAGAAAACAATTATCGTAAATGACTATGTGTAAAAGTTTAGAAAGTGAATGAGTCACAACTATTGCTTTTCTCTAAAATTCACTCTCTAGCTCTGAACCCAACCACTCTCATTTACTAGGTCCTTTTCTAATAAGCAGCATCTAAAATGAAAGTAGCACATTCAGCTTATTGGAAAGACTTTTCCAATAACTGAAAATACTTCTTAATCAATGTGCCTAATTATCAAAACATGCATTTCTAGCATCTCATGCACCTTGTTTAACTGTTATGGTTGGAGTCCTTTCCAGAGTTTCCTGGCTGTAGTCTGTAACATGCAAAATAAGAAATAGGAAAGAGATTCCACCTTCTAACCTGAGTTCATCCAATGGGTACTTCCTTTAGATGTGTTTTTAATGAAAGATTTTTTTTATCTTACATCATAATGAGAGGATTTTGTCTTAGTGATACTATATCTATCTGATAATCTGATCAAGCAATGCTGGCTATGATACAAGTGAGTAATAGTGTAACCTGGATCTTTAAGCTATACTAGTAGGCAAATTCAGGAAGAAAGAAATCGTTCAAGGTCACATCAGCATTATATCAAGCTAACTTCAAAGCAGGGTCTATAAGAGATTTTAACACGGTGAAACCCCATCTCTACTAAAAATACAAAAAATTAGCCAGGCGTGGTGGTGGGCGCCTGTAGTCCCAGCTACTGGGGAGGCTGAGGCAGGAGAATGGCGTGAACGTGGGAGGCGGAGCTTGCAGTGAGCCGAGATCACGCCACTGCACTCCAGCCTGGGCGACAGAGCGAGACTCGGTCTCAAAAAATAAAAAAATGTAAATAAAAAAGAATAATGAAAATAAAACCATCTAATGTTGTATGCATATAATAATTATCTAACATCTCTAATTGGCCTGGCCAGGCATCTTTCTTTTTCTCTTTTTCTTTCTGTCTAATCATATCACCAGTGGCTCTCAACTGGTGGTGATTTCTGTACCCCAGAAAACATTTGGTATTGGCTAGAAAAATTTCTGGTTGTCACACGTGGAGGTAGAAATGGGGGTGCTACTGGCATCTAGAAGGCAGGTACTAAACATTCTAGAATGCACAAAACAGCCCTGACAACAAAGAATTGTCTAGCCCCAAATGTCAGTGGTATCACCGTTGAGAAACCCTGATATAAACCTAGTTTGTGTGTAGGACAAAGGTAATCATTTTTTTTTTTTTAGACGGAGTCTCGCTCCGTTGCCAGGCTGGAGTGCAGTGGCGCTATCTCAGCTCACTGCAACCTCCGCCTCCCAGGTTGAAGCGATTCTCCTACCTCAGCCTCCTGAGTAGCTGGGACTGTAGTCGCACGCCACCATGCCCAGCTAATTTTTGTATTTTTTAATAGAGACAGGGTTTCACCATGTTGGCCAGGATGGTCTCAATTTCTTGACCTCGTGATCCACCTGCCTTGGCCTCCCAAAGTGCTGGGATGACAGGCGTGAGCCACCGTGCCTGGCCAGGACAAAGGTAGCCTTGCCCAATTAGCAAGACTCCTTAGGGGGAATGGCCAGGGCTTTCTTTGCAGAAGAAAAAAAATGTAAAAATAGGCCTCAGCTGGGTGATGTGGCTCCTGCCTATAATCCCAATGCCTGTAATCCCTTTGGGAAGCCAAGGTTGGAGGATTGTTTGAGGTCAAGAGTTTGAGAACAACCTGGGCAAAATAGTGAGACATCCTGTTTCTATAAAAGAAACAAAAAAAAAGCCCTAAGGAGGCAAAAAATTTCAAAAATTCAGTTGCAAAACAACAAAGACAAGTGTTACTCCTGGCAAAAGGAGCACTTGACTTGTTCTTCAGCTGAAGAGGAATGGTTTGTGAATTCTTGCTTTTGACTTCACTACCACTCCTTCTAGTCTGCAAAACTAATGTAGGAGCAGAAAACTCCTCATGTTCTCACATGTTAAAGCATGAGGGAAACAAAGCCTTGCCTTTGGAGTCTGTTGTCACCAAGGCATAGCAAAGGAAAGTAATGTTTATGCTTCCAGACGGTGCTAAATATGGACTTGGGCATCCTGTAGACTCCTGAGTGACAGGGCACCCGAGGCTGCCTAAATCAAGGTTAATCTTTTCACTCTCCTCAATACATCCTTAAGGCAGTTTAGTGGAGACAGCTCTCCACTTCTTTTCCTCTTTTGAGGCGGCCTTTGATGTGCATATAAAGCCAATTCCAGCAGTTATTTATCCCGGACCACATATTGCCAGACACAGCTCTGCTGCTTGCAGAGCAAAAGAAAACAAAACACCATTGTCTGTTAACACAGGTAAACAAGGAAGGGTGGGAGAGGAAGCACAGCCCCATCAATACGGGCGTCAGTGTCCAGGTGCCATTCAAAGGCTTTCAGAAAAGATTTTCAGTTGTTTTTACAACTGAAATTGTAGTTTTACAATTTCAGTGCTTTGAGTACTGGTACTGACCATTCCTGGCAATATTATCTCAAGGGAGTTCATCTGGCTGGCAGGGCCCCTCTACTTCTTTGGAACCTAATTTTCTTTCAGCATACACATGTAAATGTTAACTCAGCAAAATGAGCCTCTGTGAGAAATGCTGGTTTTTCAGATCATCACGGATGAAGCAGTCAGTATTTTCAGTTTCAGCTGGAAAATTTACCTCTTTAAATATGAATATTATTTTTTCCAGTAAGTTAAGCCGGTTGTGGTCAAAAAGAAGAGAAAAGAAAAAACTTCAACAAACATGAACGTGTGGTTTTCAAGGAAAAAAAAGTGCTATATTGAACATTTATAAATAGTTTCTATTAAATAAGCATTTTGGCAAACATATGGAAAGGACACCACCTTGCCCTTGTGAGAGGCAATCTGCCTTGATATAAGGAAACCAGATAAGCTGCTTCTCAGCTTGTGGCTATATATGCAAAGCAAACCTGACAGGTTTGTGTCTTAGAGATGCATGTTATTAATCAACATTCATATTGGGTAAGCATATGGGTTGGAAAATGCAAAGCAGCCCAGATGCTGTGTTCAGCTGATTGTCCATAAGAAGATTCAGGTAATATTGTTACTTATAGGCCTGCCTTTGTAGGGACTGGAAGGGATTGAGGTTTCTGGTTATAAGGTAGTAGCTTCCATATGCATTAGTGAAATGAAAATATAGCAACTTCAGGAGGAAAATAGCATCATATACACACGTTTGCTGAAAGAAAAAAGTCAGTTGGATACAAGTAACCTGGATATAAGCTTTTGGATCAGCATTAACATTTTTCAACAAGTCAGTATATATTTGGTTCTTCCAGTAAATTCCATTTCCTTTCCAGTTTGATTGCTAGACTTTTGGCTTGTTAGTCATTAGTTATTTTTCCAAGTCAAGAGATAAGTGTTTGATGCTTATTTTATACACTCCTCCACTCTCTGAGACCCTATTCTTACCTTCTAAGAAATTATCTTCCTTCTCATGCTTATTTTATACACTCCTCCACTCTCTGAGACCCTATTCTTACCTTCTAAGAAATTATCTTCCTTCTCATTGGTTGGGCAAGCCTCAAACTGTCCCTCAACTGCTTGATTCAGGCAGAATCCTACCCTAACTGAGCTGGGAGTATGAAAAGGGTTTTAGAAAAGTCATGTGTGATCTATGCAAGCATATTGAGTCTTAGATGTGAAATATGCTATCAGAGGTAGGTACCCATTTCTTTTCCCCAAAGGAGGGGCTTTAATTCATTTTCTTCATCTGTTAACTTCACAAATGTATGTTGACATTAACTGGCAAGACACTATGCCTGGCGCTGTACAGAATAAAATGCTGCTCAAGACATGTCATGATAGATACATTATAGAAACCACAAACAAATGAAAAATATTCTTCATCAGACTATAACATAATTCACCCAAAGCTGACACTAGTCACAGTGTAAGTTTTAGAGCCTCATAATTCAGCAAATGTGTTCCTAAACCGAACTAACTCTCCCTTACAAAACACAAAGGTCTTGTCCACCACCTAGATGTCAAAATGGTCCTCTGTATAGCATCAGGAATAAAGCATTGTGAAGAAGTGAGGCTCCTTTCTCTCTTATCTGTGAGGCAGGGGATTATCCCTTTTTCCCATCCCAAAGATTAAGTAGGAGGTGAAATCATACTTCACTCATCTGTTGAAATGATGTAATGCACGACATTGCAGAAGAGACAGAAACAGAGGATTGGGAAAGCTATCTTTTACTTTCTGAATAATGTTTGTTAACATATATACAAACTGTTTATCTTTCAGACAAACTGTGAGTGGTCAGCTTTTTCCTGTTTTCAGAAGGCCCAACTAAAGTCAGCAAATACAGGAAACAATGAAAGGATAATCAATTTATCAATTAAAAAGCTGAAGAGGAAATCACCTTCCACAGGTGCAGAGAGAAGACAGAAACACAGACTAGTAAGACTGTCATTTTTTATCTATCTTATTTGTACTTATAAACTATGTATCTTGCATTGCATAAACACACATGCACACCTGTAGCCAGAGCTGCTGGTGTCTTCCTTACCTATGCCTTATTATACATGGTGCATTTTTTTTTTTTTTTTGAGACAGAGTCTCGCTCTGTCGCCCAGGCTGGAGTGCAGTGGTGTGATCTCTACTCACCGCAAGCTCCACCTCCTGGTTTCACGCCATTCTCCTCCCACCTCAGCCTCCCGAGTAGCTGGGACTACAGGTGCCCGCCACAACGCCCAGCTAATTTTGTTTTTGTATTTTTAGTAGAGACGGGGTTTCACCGTGTTAGCCAGGATGGTCTCGATCTCCTGACCTCGTGATCTGCCCGCCTCGGCCTCCCAAAGTGCTGGGATTATAGGCATGAGGCACCGCGCCCGGCCTATACGTGGTGCATTTTAAGAAGTAGGGTCACTCTTTTAAGTCCATAGACTTCAAAGTATTCTGAAACCCAATTATAATTTCCTAGTAGTCCTTGGTAGCTGGAATATGCTAATATAGCTTCTCAAGGCGAGGAAGTCATTAGGCAGAGAATCCAATTGTGATTTTGGAGTTAAGGAATATTTCCTCTCATATGGTCACAGTATTCTTATTAACAGGAGCTAGATCCTAGCTTTCTAACAAGAACAGAGCCTACAAGAGACTAGGGCAAATCTTAAACTTTGCCTCCTCTCTTAAATTATATTACTATCCTGTACACCAGCAGAGTCAGTATTGAATTGAAATAGGCAGGCCTCATTACTTGGCTGGGGAATTTTAACAGTCCCTAGCTTTTTGGAGCTTTGAGATCCTCTTGTATATGCCAATTCATGAGCAATGCAGATACTCAAGAACATGAGTAATTCAAAGATTAATCAAAGCCAGTGGGAAAACACATAAAATAAATTACTCTCAAATTTTTTTTTTTTTTTTTTTTTTTTTTGAGACGGAGTCCCAGTCTTTCGCCCAGGCTGGAATGCAGTGGCAAGGTCTTGGCTCACTGCAGCTTCTGCCTCCCAGTTCAAGTGATTCTCCTGCCTCAGCCTCCCGAGTAGCTGGGACCACAGGCGCACACCACCACGCCTGGCTAATTTTTGTATTTTTAGTAGAAATATTTTTTTTATTGTGTATTTTTGTATTTTGTATTTAGAAATATTTATTTCTAAATTTCTAAAAATTTCTAAACTAAAGTTTCACCATGTTGGTCAGGCTGGTCTCAAACTCCTGACCTCAAATCATCTGGCCACCTCAGCCTCCCAAAGTGCTGGGATTACAGGTGTGAGTCATCGCGCCCGGCCTCAAATTTTTTAAATTAGTTCTTTCTCCTCCAAAAAATTCCACCTGTGATTCAAATGAAATCTTAATTACATTATCAAAGTGATTCTGATTTCCTTTGATTGCTTGGCCTGGTGACCATGTGAAAATGTCCCTCTAAATCTTTCCTCAGAAAGAAAGGAGCTGAACCTATTTTTGAAACTCATGAAGTGGTAGCTTTGGAGCTAAACTTAGAACTCTCCAGTTAAGCATGCTCATCTTATAGATGAGGAAAGTGAGATCTACCAAGGAGTTAAGTCACTAGCCCCAAGTTCCATACATAGTGTCAGAATGATAAGAATTAGACTGTATATCTACTACCTTTTAGTGAAATGCTCTCACTACAATATCACACTGGCATTGAGATGCTAACTACCACGCAATGGCTTGGTGTTTGGTATCTAAATAGGAATAAAGACAAACAGCATAAACTAAGAAAGTTTTTTTAAAAATGCAAGTGAGCAATACATATATGAAAAACTGTTCAATCTCCCTAGTAATCACACACACGTGAGTTAAAACAAGGAAATCCTGTTTTTTTCCCAATTAAACATTTTAAACAATACCCTATAATAATAATGCTCCAAGTGAAGAGAGGTAAAACTCTACATCAAAGCCTTAAAATTTTTTTATCCCTTTTATTTAGTAATTCTACTTCTAGGAATATATCAAATAAGCAAAGATATATATGAAAAATTATTTACAGAGATGTTCTTTGGAGTAATGTAGACAAAAGTAAAAAGTTAGATACGGCTGGGTGTGGTGGGTTACGCCTCTATTCCCAGCACTTTGGGAGGCTGAGGCAGGCGGATCACCTGAGATCAGGAGTTGAGGCCAGCCTGGCCAACATGGTGAAACCCTGTCTCTACTATTAGCCAGGCATGGTCGTGCGCGCCTGTAATCCCAGCTACTTGGGAGGCTGAGGCAGGATAATTGCTTGAACCCAGGAGGTGGAGGTTGCAGTGAGTGGAGATCACGCCACTGCACTCCAGCCTGGGCAACAGAGCGAGACTGTCCAAAAAAAAAAAAAAAAAAAAAAATTTAGATGCAACCTATGGGTCCAAAAATAGTAACAGTTCCATCCTATGTTGGAATACAGCATAACCACTACATGTCATATTTCTGAAGACTATTTAACACTTAGGAAATGCCTGTGATATGTTAAGTGTAAAAAAAAAAGCAAATCACCAACTGGTATAAATAATGTAAATGCATAATAATAATTAAAAATACCCAAAACACAGAGAGAATATATATTGAAACATTGCAGTGGGATTCCTATCTCTGGGAATGGGATTACAAGGACTTTTTCCATTGTTACTTTCCAGTTTTATGTAATTCTCAAATTTTTTCAGTGAACATAATTTATGTTTTTAATAAAAAAAATTTTTAAGGAACATTTTATTAAGAAAAAAATTTAAAGAAGACTGTTACTTTTTCATTGATTTCTAGACATGCCCTTCATGTGATTCTTATGAGAAAAAACCACCCAAAGAATTCCTAGAAAGATTCAAATCACTTCTCCAAAAGGTATCTACCTTAAGTTTCATTTGATTTTCAGCTTTATCTTTACCTATCCAGATTTGCCTCTTAGTTACTCATGGTATACTATTTCCACAGATGATTCATCAGCATCTGTCCTCTAGAACACATGGAAGTGAAGATTCCTGAGGATCTAACTTGCAGCTGGACACTATGTTACATACTCTAATATAGTAGTGAAACTCATTTCTTTGTATTCCAAGTGGAGGAGTACAATATATTAGGGATGGGAAAAAAAACTCGTAAGTGTGCAAAGTCAGGATTATTTCCCCATAATCACTATACAATAGTCTGATTTCCTATGTTATTGATTTCTATGACTTCTGAAGTTTTTACTTTATTTCACTGCTCAACTTTGATATTTCTTGGTTGAAGGAGAAGGTTAAAATTTTTAACCAAAAATATAGTTTTGACATTTATTGATTTTATATTAACCTTGAGCTTGATTACCACCAGAATGAGGTCTAAAACATATACACCTTCATTCCAGCTGAAAATATAGAAGCATAGAAGCAAGACATACAAAAGCAAAATGAAAAGCTGACATTTTTATTCTTTTAAGGAAATGAAAACTGAATGTTTAAAAACTTATATCTGAATATTTTTTTAAATCTCAGAATGTCTAACATATAAATATGTACTTTATTTATGCACTGGGGGATACCAGATGGCTATAAAAGTCTTACTTCTTTATTGGGGTTTATAAAAATATTTAAATACTATAGATATGAATGTATTTATGGAATAGACTCTTAGTCAGTGGCAATAGAGTATTAAGAAGTGGATTTAATATTACCTTCCTCCAGTCCCCAGTCCCCTTATAAGCTAACATTTTAAGCTTGTGGAAATGGCAATTTAAACCTATAGAGGGACATATACCAGGTTGTCTTCTGGAACAAACATCGTTTTAAAAGTATTGTAGCTCTCTTCTCCAACAGTTATAATGATCATATTATGAGCGAGCTAATAACGCCAAATATTTGTCTCCTTCTTTCTTCCTTCTTTTCTTCCTTCTTTTTAAAATGAATCTTCTGCTTTGACAAAATTTCAAAACATGTTTAACATTTTGGACACTTATAGTTACTATACTTTGGATAAGACAAATTCAATAACCTGTATGATTTAAAAATCAGGAGACAAACCAAGAGGCCAGGACTCCTCTCCAAGTTGAAAACAGACTTTCGCATAAGCATTCCAATCTTTCAAACGTGGGTGGTAAAAGTAAGCAACCTACTCTAGCTGCCATTTCATATCAGCTCCAGCACAGCCTGTTTAAACATGAAGTTAAAAACTCTAGAAAAATAAAATGTTCGCTAGAATGGTATAAGCTATTTGAGAATCTCTTATTGTTAAAATAGTTGTGAGTGTGCAAGAGGATGTGGGAAGAGAAATGCTTTATGATCTGAGAAGAAAAATTATGTGCTTAAAACAAATACAGACTTAACCTACAGTTCTAAAAGATATATTAAGAATTATTTAATCAAATCTCATTGAAATGTTTTATCATCAGCAAGTAGACTCAGAAAAAAGAAAAAAAAAATTTTATCAGAAACAAGGTACTCCATTTTAACATTTTAGAATATGTATTACAAAGGAATTATGTGCCTGATGATGATAATATATATCTAAAATGTGCCTCAGTTTCAAATACGCCAGCCTGGGTTGTTGCGATAAAAGGTGGAAACAGACACAAAGATAGTGAGAAAGATGGAATCTGTATTTCTTGTTTCTGAATTTATAGCTATTAACTCCTTTGATATTGTATTTTATATTTAAAATAATGTATTTCTTTTGGCATGTTTGTTGTTAAAATTTTCTGTTCCAATTATTTCGATCAGGGTCTCTATCTTAAAAGTAAAAATAATTTAGTGAGGGTTTGGATAACAGCCTTCATTAAACAGAGTTTAAACACCCAGATAAACTCTGGTGTTTAACCAGAGTTAAACCCACCAGCACTCCAGGAAAGGCAATGCATTGGAATAAACAAGATGAAGCAGTGAGACTTGAACAGCTCCATCTTCACTGTTCTATGTTCAAGACTGCCAGTTCTTAAAAGGAATATAAAGATAACCCATAAATATAACTGTTCACCTACGGACAGTAATACAGGAGACCTGAAATTTTGTTGACTATGAAATTGTGGTCACTGTTTAAACCGTTTAGGTTTCCATTTCCTTATCTGTAGAATAAGAGTGCTGGACTCCATCTCTAACATCTATTTTTTCTTTTTTTTAAAAGCTTTAAATGTCTATGAATCTCTAAAGTTCTGGGTATCCTTACAGGAACATCTGATCACACTTCTGGGTAAAATTTTCTACTGAGTCTGATGTTCAATTGCTCAATATTATTTCAATAACATTTGTAGCAACACTCACTGCAGGAGCAAGGGACGTGTTCCAAGATAAAAAAGGTAGGAAGGAAGGGAGAGAAGGAAACATTACTATAGGTCATGAGAGTTCAGGGAAAATTAACCATGATCTTTATTATTTTAGTTCAAAGTGTCTTCTTGGGACACTTATATAAAATTGTAGCATTATTATTCTATATTATTGCTCTGTTGTATTTACATATGCATCTGAGAATTTAGCTAATATGAACTATGTAGTTTATAACTTAATAATTATTTATTATATATTTGATTTTAAATGTTCATGTTTATGGCTTCTTATTTAAGACCTGATCATATTAAATACTACCCGCTCAGTACAACCGTCTTTTGTGATTCCCTGGAAACCCTTAATTCAATAGTCCTGACTGAAAAGAAAAGATTATCCTTAGTCTCTGGGAGCATATAGTTTTTACATGTACATGGTAAAGATGATCTTCTCTTCTCACCTGTTCTCACCGAAATGGATCCTGTCTCTGCCTCAAGGATATCACCTACTTTGCAGCCCTCCCTAATGTATGGCACATTCAGGAGGAGTTAGAGATACTTCCCAATGCCCACTGCCACCACTGCACCTACACTCTTGCACAAAATTCTCTCCTGCATTCAAGTTTATCCTATCTAGCTTTTTCTGTCCTCTTCTTACTAATGATTGTCATTTTTTGGCCACTCCTCCATGTTCATTGGGGACTGAGGATGTTCTTTCTTTCAAATCCAACGTCTGCCATCATCTGGGTGACTTCAGTGCCCACGGGGAAAATTCCACCAGCACTGCAGCATCTCAGAGACTTAGCCTCCTCAGTTCTGAGCACCTGCCTCTTTTAACTCCATCCTGTGGTCTACTGCCATGACTATGTCCCACACTTTATCACCTGGGACCCCTTTCTCTCAGAAATCTATGTAAAGATTTATAGATGTAAATATAAGACCATCAGCTGCTAGTTTTTTAGCTCTCAAACTGCCCTACTTCTACTGTGTCTGTCCTGAGACTCTGAAACTAGGCCTTAACTCCTAGCCATTCTCTCAATTTATTAGTTTTCCTCCCTCCCTCACAGAACCAACGTCCCTGATCGGTCCCTTGAACTACAGGCCAAGCAGCACACACTATCCCCCGCCCTCCTCACTCTTCTTGAGTAGCTGCCTGCAAACATTCTAGCTGGCTATCTTATCCTTGGTGCGCTAATCCAGCGTCAGACATTGGCTCCAGCCCCTCACTTTTGGAGATCCTTTCAAACTTCACTTCCTGGCATTCTGGAGTCAGTTTCCCACTTCACATTCAGCTCTGAATATTCACCTGCTTTCAACATCTGCCACAGCTTTGGATAAGAGATCCCTCCATCTACTCCAGTCCCCAGTCAGCCTGGCATAGCCTCACCTGTGTGCAGGAAAGGAATTTTCATAATCACAGTCAAGCTCATTGAAAGAATAGTCTGTACAAGTGTCTTGACACTCTCTCACCTCCTATCTACTAATCAGACCACTATAATCTGATTTGTACCCATCTCACACCTTGTCACTGTATCATTGGAATTGCCCTGTCTCTGGTCAGCAATGACCTCCTAATAACCAATTCACAATGTATCTAAGCCCTTAGCTTACTTGATCTTATCATGGTTTTTGCTATTCTCAACCACCCCCTCACCCCCTCCCTTTTCCTTATGACTTTGAAGGCCCCTTTTTGTCTGGCTGAGGTCTTACTCTCTGACCATACATACTCAGTGTCAGTTGTTGATTTGCCTTCCTGTGTCCTCTCCTTAGAAGTTGATGTTCCTGAGGATTCTGTTTCTGGTCATCTTTTCACTTTAAGTCTTCCTCCTCGATAGTCAAATGTGCTCCTGTTCTTTTAAATACCCCCTCTATGCTGTTGACCCCTAAATCTATAGCTAAAGGCTAGACCTCTCTACTAATTCCCAGGGTCATATATCCAACTGCTCCCTGGAGATGTTCTCTTTATCTCCCAGGCTCTTCATCTCAACATGCTAAAATTGATCTCTTCACTTTTCCCCACTTCCATGACCTTCTCCTTTTCAAGAGTTCCCTAAACTTAATTGAGGGGACTATATCCTCCTAGCCTCCCAGACTCTGCCTTCTCCTTTACTCACTATAACCATGATCACTAACTGGGCCTTGTTATTTCTATCTTTTAAATTCATCATTTCTTTTCTACTACCTCTGCCATCACCTTAATTCAGGCTCTCAGCTCTTGTTGCGATAGTTAAAATACCTTTCAACTGGATTTCTAGCATTTCATCTACTCTCTCCAATCCACCTCACATGGCCGCTGGAGTGATATTTGGTAAAATGTAAGCATGATTACAACTTTCCCTTATTTAAAATCTTTCACTAGCTCTCCTCTAGAACAAAGCCCAGGCCTGAAGCGGGGCATGTAAGACCTTTTTTCTTATGCTGCACTCAGCTCCCAGCTTCTCTTCACCTTGGACTTCACATTCCAGCCAATCCAATCACTTCCAGTTCCCTAGACACACTACGTTGTTTCATTCCTCTGTAACTTTGCACTGGCAGTGACCTCTCCATAGAATATTATTCCTCCATCCCCTTTTAATGCTTAGAAAACACTCAGGTTTGACCCAGCAATCCCATTACCAGGTATATACCCAAAGGAATACAAATTATTCTACTACAAAAACATATGCACGCATATGTTTATTGCAGTGCTATTTACAATAGCAAAGTCACGGACAACCCAAATGCCCATCAATGATAGACTGGATAGAGAAAATGTGGTGCATATACACCATGGAATACTATGCAGCTATAAAAAGAAATGAGATTATGTCCTTTGTAGGGACATAGATGAAGCTGGA